TACCAGATTAGAGCACAACCCGCAAACTGATAAGAAATAGGAAATGCCTCGCGATAAAATAACATTATGCATTCGGTTATCGGCATAATGTTTGTTTTCAAGTTTATCATGAGAATTATATTTAAATTGTAGTTTTAATACGTTGTCAGTATCTTTTGTTTGCATTTATCGTTTGGCTGATGAAAATAAAATGAATAAATAAAAACATGGAAGCAAACTCCATGCCATTCCTCGTTTTCCGGCGGGATCATTTGCGGTCCACATAAGGGATCATTTGCGGTTCGGGATCTTTTGCGGTCCAGTTTGGGGATCATATCCGGTCTGGGGATCACTTGCGATCAGGGATCATTTGCCGTGCAGTACAATCCATAAACAATATGGACCGAAGCTAGATCAATTTATTATAATGGCTCTTTTAAAATTATGCAGCTGATGAATTAATTGATCAAATCTCGGTGAGCGCGGGTCAAAATTAGGCATGTATTTTGTATTATTTTCAGGCCGCTTTTTTTAAAGAAAATTAGGCAGACCCCAAATTAGGGATAACAATTCCCATAATTCTTTGCGATCAGACCTTCGCGATGAAAGCATCAGATCATCCCGGAAGTGGCTCGGAAGTTTTTTGTTTCTGGATCTTCTTGAACGTTTCCGCTCTAAATCAATCTACTGTCGGCTGGATTATATTGATCAAGTATGCACTGCAACTGAAACGCATCTTACGTCAAAATTTTGTGGCTTTTGGTGGCTATATCTACGATCAGCGGCCGGCAGAGCGGTAAGACATTACACCTTTTGGTTCAACCCTAATTGCTATTGTGTTTACACTTTTTCTACAAATTGTTGTTGAACGTGTGGTGAAACTGAACTTGTTAAGTTCTGTAGGACTATTTTAGAAAGGTATATTGCAACCTTCTTAAGTTCTTCTTAAGTTGTCCTCAATGCTCCCTTGACGGGCAAGATGTTCAGCAATCTACAGCAGGAAATATTGCTTGCGAAAACTGTTCGCTGATTCCAATGATTGTAATATGATTTAATAGAAATTTAGATTTCTCAATGGAAGTTTGCTTCCATCAAACAATAAAGATGCGTTTAGTGATTAATATATCATTACACTAAAACCATGTTGTGAAACTATAAAATTATCATCGATAGTATGAAACAGTCATACGGTCAAACCAAGTGTAGCTCAAGATGACATTCATGAATTGATTATTTGGATATTGAACCCGCTAGTCACTTCAAGAATGCAATAGTGAATTGATTTTTTGAATATTGAACCCGTTGGCCATATTCTCGGAACGACAAGAGGGTTTAATATTCAAATAATCCATTATTGTATTCTTGAAGGAGGAGGTTGGCCACGCACTGAACTGCATTATGGGTAAATATTACAATGAGCTTCAGTTTACACGTTCTCTCATGTTGTTCGGATCTCTGGATAGGCGACTAAAGGTCTGTTAAAAGCTGAAGTTCTTTCGTCTTGCTGAACATTGAATGTTATGCTCTAAAAATCTTTGGATTACCTTACCTACACATGATGATCAATGAAGACTATAAAAATGTGGGATTTTCTGCGTTCGAGTCTCAGAGTGAAGATGAGTCCGCAAAAGATCGATCGATCGATCAATCCTACACACGCAGATGGATATCTGCAGCTATTTCCTCCATATATCCTGCCACTTTGTAACGTTTATCAATACTTGAATAATTGTGCTTTCCGAGTGATGCAGCTTTATGCTTCTCTGACAGCCAGTAATATATTCAGTATACGAAAGCTTGAATGCAATTTTTTCTGACTATGTGTTATTGTTTACATTTTTGCTTTACGGCTGGAAAATTGTACTTTATTATGTTACAATGCACTGAAGAGATATAGTTTATTTAATGGGAATTTGTCAGACCTTTTGTGCACTGTGTCAACATATGTCAGTTATTTATCATAGCCCAAGATTATAGTGCAGTACCTTACTGTACTACTGAAAAATTGGTTGTGCACTCTTTCATTACTGGTCAGTGGGGTGAAACTCTTACGTAATTTAGAATACTCTGCCAAAATACCAATAAAACTGGTCAGAAGTGAAGTACACCATTAACCCACTGGAGCCAAAATTAATTTTTAAGGATTTCTGAAAATTTAGACCCAGATGATTTAAAACATCATAAGTTATTACCTTTTTAACATAATCAGGTTCTGCAAAAAGCATCATGATCCTTGATTACATTTTATTTTGAGTGTAATTAGCAAGGTGTTTGATGTAACATGAAACCATTGTAAGAGTTTAATTATTAACAATTGTGTCACACCATACTCAAAATAGACAAAGTTATTAACCATAAGGACCAAAAAATGAAAACGAAAATTCTGATAACTACACATATTGATAGAATAACTATCAAGGATTATTTTGATACCTCACTTGACATATTCACTCAACTGTAAGACTTCCTATGTCTGATTTCACTTCTTTGATACAAATTTCTGTGTTAAATCCTAAAGCGAGACATTTTGTGGTATTCGCCATGCTGAGAGTTGTCCCAGTTAGGCAAGCCAAAGTATATGAACAAAAGTTGTCCTGCCTGCCAGGGTTACCTTACCCGCCGAGGCAAGACAACTTGCCCACCCGAGTTGTCTCGCCCCCCGAGACAGGTTTGCAATCCTCTTGTAAATGGTGGTTGAATTTTGCAAAGAAATAAGTGAAAAGTTACCTCAGCTAGGGTTACTTGGGGGGAGGGTTGTCTCGGGTAACCGAGACCATATAATTGGGGTCCTAGTATGAATCAATTTTTTAAAAAAAAGACCATTATTGGCACATGCATATCTGTATTTCAGATTCAAAATTGATTTTTGTGTCTAGTTGAGTCTAAGAATAACCTTTTGAAAGAAAACTTAACATTACCCTAATCCAAAGTTTCAATACTGACAGACTCAGGACCAAATAGTTACCATAACAGTGATAAAAAGTTTAAAGATTTACACAGTATTAAAATAAAACCCTTTGAGTTGACTATTATATAGGGTTTATCTTGGGTCTTAATTGCTTTGACAAATTGGGCTGTCCTTTTGGAAAACATCAACAATAATTCAGTCATTCTGGACAACCACAAAAGTGATGATTTTGAACTGGGCCTGTGCGTTACAGAAACAAAACAGTACAAAACAATCTTTAATTGAAATTTATTATCAACATTATATTACAGTCTAAAACTGGCAGTCAAGAAATGCATCATTAAACAATCATATGCTAAAATTATAACATTTTGGAGACAAGTTTTCTAAAACGTGAAAGTAAATAGTTGATATTAATAGAACCTTTTTCTCCTCATAAAACCAAACTTATCAAGCATACTCAAAACTACAACATTGTAGAGACAGCATATGAAGATGGACTATCTCTTTTCATTCCACAGCTCCTGGTTGTGACACCAGTTATTAATATCCACCAGGAAATCAATTGTGTATACTCTGATCTCTGTTGGATCCTGTTGAGAACAACAATTGCAAAGAAATTTTGAACTATGCCTAGATAAATGATGCAATATACATTACAAGGAGATTATTGACCTTGGATAATTAAAGGGTCAATAGCCTCATTTAATAACATTAATCTGTAAAAATACAACAATCTTCGAGGCACCAGACGTAAAAATCAAAGTGGCTGTGAGCCACTGAACTTGGAAAATAAATTATGGAAGGGTGTTATGAGGCATTGCTCATTATAAAGGAACTACTTGTGATGTGAGGGCAGTCTAGCTTTTGAACAAGCCCATGAAACCTTTTTCCATATATTCAGGGGTGTGTTGTGATATTTGCAAAATGAAAAAGTTCAACGATAAGAAACTGTTTGTTACTCAGGCCTGCCTACACGTTTTAGCGGAGGTCGGCCCGCCAAGCGGAGCCCCATACTCATATAGGAAAGAAAAGGAAACCCAGGAGTTGATTTTCTCATCGTTTTCATAGCTAGCGGTATTGCTCGCGGGCGTGTATGCACGACAGTGACGACGGAGTCGCGCAACATGGCGGTCATACTCAAAATAATAGGTTGACAGAGACATGCAGCCTTGGTTTAGTTCTTTGATATTGGGCATCCATGTTATGATCAATCGACACCTGTCAAAACAAGGTATCCGCTGACCAGTATCACGTGACTATATCGCGGGCTCAAGTTTATAGCTCATGGAGGTTGCGGTTTTTTTTAAGTTGACCGCTGACCAAGTGCTGGTTTTTGATTGGATCGCAGGCTCATGTCAGGTTAGCTTGTTGAAGACAGGGCAGGATTGTTCGGAAGCCGGTTAACGCTAACCCAGGATTAAAAGTTAACCAAATTATAACGCTTTCTTCTAAACAAATGTTTTTTTGCTGCTTTTGTGTATATCGTGATTATTAAAACTCAAAACAGAAGGCCAAACAATATACAGAAAACCTTACCGCAAAGTTACAAAACTCGAATCAAAATTCTACCTTTTCCTGGGTCAGCTTAATCGGGCTCTGAACAACCCGGCCCAGGAGCTACGCTTTTAGGTTGGCCTAAATCTATATATTACATTACATGTATCTGTACATTTCCTTGTTCTGTAGTCAAAAACAGCAAGATCATTTTGTTTGGTTAAACGTGAGGTATAGACTGAACGAAACACTTGAGCCTTCGGTTCATAAATGAATAATTCTAACTTTCGCCCTCCAGTAACTGATGTACAAGTAGCGTAGTGAGCTAAGCGCTGGCTCGCCATGCGAGATATAGCGAGTGCGAATCCTAGTGGTGACTGCTGATTATCTATTCATTTCTTCTTCATTGTTTTTTCTTTTTCCGACAAGAAACCATTTACCGAAAGATAGCGTTTTTCTTTCCGTTTCTTGTGTTAAAAAGATCGTCTGGAGCCATAAATCATTCGTTTATATCGATTTCTTTCGACCTCACAATATCACGTAGGTTTGTGAAGGAAAAACCACGAAGGCTTTCCCTGAATCACTAAGCAAGAACCATAAGTATTTTCCTTACAAT